AGGTACTGTATTTATAGCATGAAAGTGACAACATAATATCAATCATAAAATTAATATATTGGCAGATTTACTTAAACTGTACTACTGTAGTCAGTGTAATGAGTAGTGACATAGTCTGAATTAATTGAATATATATTATTAGTTTTTTGGGCGATTCTCAAGTGCTGTCACCTATTACTCCGAGCATTTGGGAATAATCACATTGCTGAATTACTGGTGCATGAAGTGGTGCCATATGGCAAAAATTGGGTGTCATAAACGAAATTTCAAATGTGGACACCCAAGTTGCAAATCCTGGCTAAGACCCTGAAGGTATGACTGGCATCCCGCGACTACGTGCAGAAGGGTTTCAGGGTTCAGGCAGATGGAACAATCAGAGTTTGACATTATTCCCCATTTTGTGACGTTTTTGCGTGTGGGAAGAGTGTTGTTGATGTAACGGATGGTGAAGTTATAGTGCTTTTTGGCAAGCTTGACTGCATGAGATTTGGACCATAGGTTGTTTAGTGTAGTGAACTAAAAGGAGCCTTGGAGAAGCAGATGATTTGAAGCTTGTCCTCTTGTGCAGATTTGAAACTTTTAAGAACTTCCTTTGTTGAGGTGTAGACGTCGCACTGTATGTTAGTATTGTTGCAAGTTGACTTCCATAAATTCCTTATATATACAATCATTTGGAGAGGTTTTTAAGGCTTTACGAGAGACTGTTTGGCACTGAGTAAACTTGACGGATGGAGGTCAAATAACAATAATAATAATCATAATCATAATCATAATCATAATGATACAGAATTTCCACAAAATGGCTCTTCGTCTTTAAGTCCTAAATACAAATAATTTAAATGGAGTAAAATGTTAGAATAATTACACGTAACTAGTGAGTAAATTAAATTACAATGTACATACGATCTAATTAAATTATTTAATCGTTCGTTCGTTCGTTCGCCATCAAGAGATAATGTGTTTTTACAGTCCGTTTAAAATATTGTAAATCCGAGAGTTTCTAATTTCAACTGGCAAACAGTTGAACACGTCTGCAGCAGTGGCTTGAAAGGTGTCGTTTTCGATGGGAACATTTATTTTCGTTTCCGAGGATGATCCTAGTATCCTTTTGGGAATATACTGCTCAAGCTTTAAATATGAATACCCTTAAAGGCAGCTTGTGCCAAATGAAACTCTCTCCGTTCTTTCATAGGAAGCCATCCCAATTTCAATACGTCTTGTTCAGAGGCGTATCTTCCGACTACAATGCCTGCTGCCGCTCGCTGCACTCGCTGAAGGCATTTCAGAATTAAGATATACAGGAACTGGATGGCACACCATGTCGTTGTAATCGAGTTTTCATAAAACTAAACACTCGGAAATTTTTTACCGTAGGTGGTGTTTCTGCAACGTACAAATTAAAA